TGAGGAGAGAAATGCTCAGTCACGTAAGATATGAAACCCCTTAATGGCATCACAGAAAGCAAGGCAGTTTCAAAACCTGGGTTGTGGGATATTTCGCAAAACTGAGGAATCGCAATTTTCTACTGTTCTCATGTAATTCTCTTGGTAAGCTGCGTGATCTCACATGTGACACTAACGTCATCTTTGTGATGAGGCAGGTGGGGTTTTTTTCTTCTTCTTCTAAGAAACTTAAAATCAAACTGGAGAATGAACAAAGAATACATACAATGAAACAGCAAGATCTTCTCATCTAAGACTAGGGTGTTTGGCAGTTTCTGTACTTCATTAATCACAGACTGGTTTGGGTTGGAAGGGACCTTAAAGATCATCCAGTTCCAACCCCCCTGCCATGGGCAGGGACACCTTCCCCTAGACCAGGTTGCTCCAAGCCTCATCCAGCCTAGCCTTGGACACTTCCAGGGATGGGGCATCCACAGCGTCTCTGGGCAACCTGTTCCAGCGCCTCCCCACCCTCCCTCTGAAGAATTTCTCCCTGATATCCAATCTAAACCTCCCCCCTTTCAATTTAACCCCGTTCCCCCTTGTCCTGTCACTACAGGCCCTTGTAAAAAGTCCCCCCCAGCTTCCTTGTAGCCCCTTCAGGCACTGGAAGGTGCTTTAAGGTCTCCCCGGAGCCTTCTCTTCTCCAGGCTGAACACCCCCAACTCTCTCAGCCTTTCCCCATAGCAGAGGGGCTCCAGCCCTCGGAGCATCTCTGTGTCCTCCTCTGGACTCGCCCCAACCGGTCTGTATCCTTCTGATACTGAGGGCTCCACAGCTGGACGCAGCACTCCAGGTGGGGTCTCACCAGAGCAGAGTACAGGGGCAGAATCCCCTCCCTCGCCCCCCTGGCCACGCTGCTCTGAATCCAGCCCAGGATACGGTTGGCTTTCTGGGCTGCCAGCGCACACAGCCGAACAGACTTTTGGCGTTGGTCCTGCCACACAACTAAGTGGTGGCTTACGCTAGTGAAGCTGTCCTACTGCACACATCAAACCCACCCAGGAACCTGGGCGGTCTCTCTCACACACTCATGTATTTGGCTTATGTGGCCGATGTGCCAGACCAAAATTTGAATCAAAGCAGATCATCTGCAAGGAAATGACTTCTAATTACAGCTCCACAGTCACTACTTCCAAGCAAAATCAAGATCCTTTTTCTTCTTGGCTTCTGACAGCACTGCAAGAATTGAGTATTTTCTCATTAGTGTTCCCACTAAGTTACTAACCATGATGATAGATATCAGGCAATTAATGGAACATTTCCATATTTGGAGGAAAGAAAAAAGATTTTGGTAGGATAAAAATCAGTCATTTTTTACCAGTTTATTCCCCCCTTATTCTGGGTAATTAGAGGAATAAGATTTGAGATTAACTCTCTGAAATTTCACTTTACAGCTTGATAAATACTTGGAAAATGTGCCTGTTTTCACCATCAGCCAAATATCCAGCCTGGGCAGGGTCTCTGCGGAACTACCCGAGTTCCTGCTCCTTCCGTGCCAGCAAGGGAGCCACACAGCCACTGGGTGACCACGGGTCACTTGGTAACCCAGTCCTGGCAATAAACAAAACGTGTTTCACCCCTAACACAACTCCAAAAGACCATTTTTCTTTTCTTGTTTCAGTTTTGACTATATATTGTCCAAAAACTTTTCAGTTTTAAGCCAAGCTTGATACTTCTTCCCTTAGGCCTTCCACTTGCGCATTTTAAGAAAGATTAGTATTAGTGAATATCTAAAGTATGTAAGTCATGCTCAACGGATTTTCATTTCATGTTGTAAAAATGGTCGATGCATTCTCTTGTTCTAACTTTCTAAGAAATTCACTGTTCTGCTCCCCCCCACACCCCTTTCTGGTACATACCAAACATACCAGGCAAGATCTCCACCACCTTAATCCCAAACTGTGACACATCAATTTATTCCTACCCACAGGCATGAACTCCTGAAACACAAAAATCACCAGCGGGAAAGTATTTTCAACCAGAAACAGTGTTTTCAATAGCTGAAACATCTGATTTCTTTAAATATTCATAACACTTTAGAAGTTAAAGCATGTCTGTCGTTGTTCTTGAAGTGAAAAGCAGCCAAGTTAACTTCTCTACCTGAAATACATCTATATTTAAAATTGTAAGTTAATCATAGGTACTGAACAGTGACTGTCCTGCCTGATCAATATATCAGGCAAGTGAGTGCTTGCCTGCCTGCCAAGAGAGATTCTAGAAAGCAATTCTCAGGTTCATGTATTCACATATTAGTTACCAACAACTCTTTTTAATTAGCCATGCCGCCTTGGCATATTCCCAAATACATAAAAATTAATTATCTGTTACATCACATCTTTGTAATTTTAACCTTTTCAAGCTTCACTACTTTTCAGTGACATTACCTTTAAAAAAAAAAAAAGTCTCTACTTATCAAGAGACTGCATATGGGAGACAGACAATCAATCACAAAAATGAAGACTAGAGGGAAAATTCACAGCAGAAGACTTAAAACACCTTTTATGACTCCTTATCATGCACTAACAGATAATCAATAGCTTATCAAAGCTGTGCATTTTGACTTGGCCGAGTCATTTCTAGAGTTAATTCAAAATCACCAATATCAACTTATTAAAAAAAGCCTATGCTAGTAAATCTACCGTGAACGTTACTGCTTGCTTAACAT